CCCTTTGGGACACAGCTCTCCCAGAACTCTGCAGCCTCCTGCAGGGCTCAGGAGCTCTAGGTTAGAAATCAGGGACACATTTTGGTTTAATGGGGCCTGCAATTTGCATAATTTGAAAGGCCTCTTTTAAGGAAAAAAACATACAAAATTAGAAACAAATGTGAAATTTTACTTAAAATGAGAAAAGAAATAACAACAAATTGCATATTAGTAAAAGCTGACATACCACTCACATCACAAAATCTAGAAAAATACTTCTAATTCATTTTCTTCATTTAGTAATACTTTTGCCCTTTATTATTTTTTTGGCATACCCTTTGATTGCCTCTTATGTGACAACAATTTTAAAATACTGTTTTTTAAATAAATAGAATGACTCATTTTCCTCTAGCATGGTCGATAAAACACATGGCTTCCTACACAGACACACTCTCTTGGTAGTATTAATACAAGCTTGTATTTTACAATACAGAAATTCTGCTAAATTTAATGTTAATTTCCATTAAAAAAAAAAAACACAAAAAAACCCCAGAAAACTGAATATGTTTTCAAGAGGAGAGGACTTCCATATTGAAAATTTTAGAATTTGGCAATGAGAACCAAATTCTCAGTTTACAATTTTACACATCTGTTGCTTTGGAAGAATGTCCCACAGATTAGCTTCTGGTACCATATAATTCCCTTTCCAATAACAGCATCTTCCTGGTAGTGCTGGGTACCACAGGGCACACCCATATTACAATATGTCCTTTGACTCTGCATCTTCCTATAATGATGCCAGAGGAGATGACACAGTTTCAGGTAACATGAGTATTCCTAGAAGCTACTCCTATACCAAATGTCTGTGCAAGGAAGGGTCTGCAAGCCATGTCACAGATCCCAAACAGTCTGTGGCCACTCCACATAGGGAATTATGACAAAGGGACAGATAGTGAAGAAAAAGACAGTGGTCTGCACTGCCTACAGCTGAGACACCTTACTTGTGAACACATTGTTGGATCCCACCCAGGCTTTGTAAGTGGAAGGCCCAGAATCCAAGCTTCCTTAGCTACACAGTAACCCTGTGCTGGGAAGTGCTGATTGTGTGAGACTGCCCTCAGGCACATCTACCCCAGCCCTCCCTGGGACATTGCCTCTGGCCTTCAAGAGCAATGCTGGGTGAGGCTTGCATCTCCTGACTCTGCTTTGACGAGTTCCAAAGATGCATTCTCTGCTCTCAGCTTGGCCCTAAAATATGTCTTGGATTCCTGTCACATGTGCAGCACGTGAAACTTCAGGCAAGAACCTGAGTCTATTATTGGGGAACCTGGAAGCATTCAAGTTCTCGATTCCCCTTGCTGCTGAAGGATTGAATTCTTACCTTAGAGGAGAAAAACTTTGACATCATACTTTTTTTTTTCAAATTCTGTATTTTATGGTATAAAGTCTATACTTTTGATTCTCAAGGCTTGGTCCTATTTCCTTTTGAGCCAACCCATTTTTTTATTTTTTATTTTTAGACTTCAAAATAAAAACTATTTCTCATGCACCCAGTTCTTATAAATCAATAAGGCTTATAAATCAAATTGGCTTTCAAGACTATATTCTTTATTAAAGATTTGCAGGTAAAAAAAGTAGATCTTCATTCTCTATGTATTTCGTTCCTTTGAGTGCTGCCTGAAAAGAAAGCTGTAGCATTAAGTGGGGGAGGGTGGAGAGTTGGACAGGGAAGATCATCCTGTTAGTCTCAGCATGTTTCTGCTCTAGGAAGTATTGGTTTTTTTCCAGGCACTGGAAATGTTAGCTAGAATTATTGGTCAAATGGCAGAGCTGTGCTATCAGTCAGGGTCTCAATGCACATAAACAGAAAAACATTTAATATAGGAAATTAGGTACTTCCAAATTTTTGGCAAGGTTAGAGAAGCAGGTTCAAGGCTGGGTCTCCAGGAATGAGTTTCGAAACAAAACTGACTAAAAGAACTGCTACTTGTGCCATAATTAGAAAATTGATGGATCAGGAAATCACTGTGCCCCATGCTGGCTCCAGGATCGCACACCACTGGGGCTCTAATTGGGGATCAAAGAGCTGCCACCAGAGGAGCTAGAAATCAAGTCATTCCACGCTAGTTAGAACTACAATAGCAACATGGGTGCCTTGTGTGCTGCCCCTCCCCACCCCCAGTTTTCACATGAGTGCATCTGATTGTCCTAGGGAAGTCTGGGACATAAATTTTCATCTTCCCAGCCTCTTCAGTAGAGGAAGTCACACGAGGAGGAAGTTGGAAGAGAAGGTAGTGCCCCAATCTGCCATCTGTCTGCTGGGGCTGTGCACGATAGCCCACATTAGCCCACATCTGTCTCTGGGAACCTAAGTTCCTTCTCAGACCAGCTCCTGTTCCAGCAAGATGCTCAGGGGCACATAAAAGGAGCATCCATCACAGGCTTAGTCTGTGAATTTAGATCGTAAGCTGCCTAACTCAACCATCACATCTCACTGCTTCTGCCATCGATATTTTTGTCTCCTCCCTTCTGATTGGCTTATAATTCATCCCACCTTGGTTCCTGTCCCAGGTAAGTGTATGTCTTCCTTCACCTGACGGAATTTCTACACATGGCCTTCACAGTCCTGTGACTGTCCATCCCCATGAGATGTCCCTGAATGTAACTGTCTTCTTTCACTTCCAACCAATTTGCCTTCACTTCTGGGGCATGACTTGTTTACAACTAAATACTGATGTTGGAAATAGTCTAGTTTTACTTTTTCAACAACAAGCTGAAAAGAAACCTTGTTTTGGCACCACTTCATAAAACGATCCTCTCCTAGTAGGGTCCTAACCTCAACAATTGAAAATCTGATTTCTTGAAGGTTCAGCAGGAGAGATTCGGTCCTATTGGTGGTTCATACTGTGTGACTCTTCCTTTTCTCAACAAACATGCATCTTGGCTCCAAAGCATTGTGTGGGGTCATGACCCCATTAATTTCTGTAAATGAAATTTCAATTCGGCTTATTATGTTATACTAAATGATGTCAGACCAAGATTAAATAAGCCTGTGGAAACAATCATCTTTAATCATGGAGAAATTGAAAGCTGCATTTTATTCATGACTGCACATAAATAACATGCTTAGACTTTATTGTTTAGTAAAATTTGGTGCATAAATTAGCTCTTCCCCTAATTTTAGTTTCATTCAGGCATGCCATTTTAATTCCTCCTAATTCACCGATTCATAGAAGCAGTAGAGAAAAGTATAAAGGACATTAATCTTAATCTCATAATAATTTTAGTAAAGGTCCATTTGAATTTACATGTCTAGGTAGTATTTTCCTTCCTTCCATTGTGACATGAAATTAAACTCAGTATGTTGGTTGGACATGTGGTGGGAGAAACAGTCAAAGATACCAATGCATGTGTATACCTGGAATACTCCAACAGTGCCATTAGGTGTCCTTTCTGGGACATGATCCTATTTCTGTCACCCTCCACCACCTGGCCCCAGCACTCAGTGAGGGCTATGCTCATATGAACACATCTCACATTCCCCTTCTGACTTCCACACTGACCACACAGAAAACTCTCGTGGCTGTGCCTAGATACTATATGCTACTGCCCAGATCAATCTACCACTCTGCTCCTGTCCCCTGGATCCTTGAGAGTGTCCTTGGGTGGAGTGCACCTGAGAAACTGTAGCAGTAAAATTTGTCAAGATATACATTCAAAGCATTTTAGATAGAGCATCGGTCTAATACATTATATAGGCTAACAGAGTAAAATAAAATGGCATATTCTTCACATCACACAATACCTTCCAGTAATATTAACTATTCACAGGAGTATCTAAGGGAAAACAGAGCATAAAAATGGTTATTTAAGAACTTCAACATCTATTTTCTTCCATGCTTCAAACTGGGTGGGTGATTTTTCTACTCATCAATATGGGGGGAAAGGGCTAGAACTATTATTTTGTTAAGTAGAGGAGAAATTTCTTCCAGAAAGGCACTGCAAGCAGGAGCGCTTCATTTACAACTTGCAGTTCAGAGAGTAGCATTGCCCTAAGGATAAAGGAAATCCTTGTTGCCTTTATATTTCACAGAAGATGCACATGAACACTCAGGAATCTAACTATAGGAGTGGTCAGCTGCAAGATGACATCTGCTTCACATCTGTGACCAAGATGGCCAATGTCATGAAGGAGTTCTTTGGACACAGAGTTCTAAAAGCTAACTATATAGTGCTTAGGGCAAAGAGGGCCATGTACCCTAGAGGTAGGTAGCACCAATAGCCAATGCTGAAAAAAAGTTTTTATATCTTACAGAAAATATTACATTTCCCCCTATAACTGAAAAATACAACATTTAGGACAACAGGGAAAGAATATTTGACATGAGAGTTCCCTAGTGGCTCAGAAAAAAATTTGGAATAAGCTAGTTTGTGGGAGAAAGGTCCATCTGATGGTGGAATAGAGAGACCCAATGGGTTCTAAGCAACTTCTTATAAGTTAAAATGAAGGAAGATGTATATCCATTCCTGATTCTATCCCTTACCAGCTGGCAAGGCGATAACCCAGGAGATGTACCAGTGTAACTTTTAAAGTGAGAGGAGAAATGTCCATGGATATGAAGTAAATTTATGGGATATAAACTATCTGTAAACCGTAAATTGTTTGGAACAAACATATGTGAAAACTTTTGGAGGTGAGGAAATCCAAATCCAATGATTGAAAAGGCGGCCTGGCAGCCAAGAGGCCTTCTCTCCCTTCCAGTATCCCTACAATCACATGATAGAACCAATCCCATGCTCCGATAAGGAAAAGCCTCCCACACACACAGGTGATGCAGCTTTTTAGTCTAAATGTTTTGCCAAATGGTCTCAATACAGGGAATCATTTTGTTGTCCTAAGTATTAGCAAAGATTACCTTTATGCCCCCAGCCCAGGTATTTTATACCAAAAAAGTCATAATTATTGTCTTGATGTCATTATTGGCCCAGTCTCTGTTCTTCTAGACATCAGATTCTTGTGGTTAAATGTCTTTGGTTGAATGTTTGTTCCCAACATCCTTAACTGCTGCAGACCCTGAGTCTGGGCTGGACACTTCATCCACAATCAAAGAGCTGGGTGAGGATCTCTCACAAGGTGGAGTGCCAGGAGAGCACTGCCCACTATTCTTTCCTTCCTCATGTGACATGCGAAGCTTCAGGCTGTCTTCCACCAGGCTGAATGGAGACCTACTGTGTTTCTCTGAGTCTCGGTTAGGACATGAGCTATGCTGGTGGCCTGTCAGCACAGCTCCTACTCTTTCAGTTGCTGTCAAGGGCATATCTTTCGGATTCTCTTGCAGTGAGTTGGCCTCTAGAACACCAGAAGCACAGGGAGGTGGCTCCATGGATTCTTTTTGAGAAGCTAATTTCTTTTCCTCTGATCTAGGTGCCCTTGCTTTCTTTTTGAAGGACCAGGTTTTCAAACTAGCCAAACCATTTCTCAACCACATGCTGGGATGAAGAGTTACAGAATGCATTTGTGAATGACACTCTACACTGTCATTATTTGTATAAGCCAGGCAGCTGCCGGTCTGCCCAGAGGAGGTACCAGGCACTCCAGAAATGAGACTGGGACTGCAGAAGTCAGAAGAAAGTTCTCCCGGCTTGCTTTGAGCCTGAAAATTGCAATCTATTGGCGAGGAAGTTTCAGTGGGTGTACACACGGAATGTTCTGAGATCTGAGAAAAAGCAGAGTCTTGGGAGCTCCCTGATGAGTCACACGGAGAAGTGCTTATACAGGACAAGCAGATGTTTAATCTCCACGGTAAACATCTAGTATTTTGCTTTGTGGCACTACTCTTGTCCACCTCAATCCCCATGACCAAACTCTGATTAACAAGGTTTTGCCCTTCTATTTGCGGTTTTAGATGGTCCTCCTCTCGATGCAGGTGACCAGATGCGTAGTCAGTTTTATTTTGTTTCTTTGAAAATATCCTCCTGAGGTAGCTCCGTTTGCAGGGCTGGACATCAATGTTGGGCTCTGAGCAGAGCTGCTGCCTCTCTGAATTCTTGAGGGCACCAGTTGTGTGTGGAAGGGCGGTTCCCGATGTATCTAAACCAAAGGGCTGGCTCCTGGGATGATCCTGTGGGGACATGTGACTGCAGGATGCCACAGAAATGGCCCCTGCCTTGGATCTAGGGAGAAGCTTCCCATGATTTCCTTTATTACCAAACAAGCTTTTCTTCTTAGCACTTTTTTTAATGTCATTGTTCTTGATATCAGTGCCTGTAACTAAACTCTCCTTAAAACAGGCCGTACCCTCCTCCTGTAGGGGTTGTTTCTGCTTCAGATGGTCCTCATCTTTTTGTGAGGGAACTGCACCATGTCTGGACTTGCGCAGCTTTTTTTGGTAAAACTGTTTGAGAGACGAAAGCTTTGAATCTAGATAGCTGGTGCTGGACTCCAAGGGGTACTGGTGTTGCCTTAGGCTTTTTGGAGCATCTGCTGCAGCGGTGGACAGATAGCTGGGTTCGGTCATGCCAGACGGGTCCCCGGCATGTTCCTGCAGTGTGGGCTCTGTGTCCAGTACTGCGACGGTCAGAGGTTTGTATTCAGGAGACGGTTCCATTTCAATGTCTTCATGTTTGGAAGAGTCTAAGTCAAAGTCTCTCAGGATTAAAAGACCTCCCACCTCAGGCTGGTTGACGTCATCGTCACAAACGGTTAAGACACAAGACGGGTCCCCGGCATGGTCCTCCAGTGTGGGCTCTGTGTCCACTACTGTGACGGTCAGAGGCTTGTATTCAGGAGGCGGTTCCATTTGAATGTCTTCATGTTTAGAAAAGTCTAAGTCAAAGTCTCTCAGGATTAAAAGACCTCCCACCTCAGGCTGGTTGACGTCATCGTCACAAACGGTTAAGACACAAGACGGGTCCCCGGCATGGTCCTCCAGTGTGGGCTCTGTGTCCACTACTGTGACGGTCAGAGGCTTGTATTCAGGAGGCGGTTCCATTTGAATGTCTTCATGTTTAGAAAAGTCTAAGTCAAAGTCTCTCAGGATTAAAAGACCTCCCACCTCAGGCTGGTTGACGTCATCGTCACAAACGGTTAAGACACAAGACGGGTCCCCGGCATGGTCCTCCAGTGTGGGCTCTGTGTCCACTACTGTGACGGTCAGAGGCTTGTATTCAGGAGGCGGTTCCATTTGAATGTCTTCATGTTTAGAAAAGTCTAAGTCAAAGTCTCTCAGGATTAAAAGACCTCCCACCTCAGGCTGGTTGACGTCATCGTCACAAACGGTTAAGACACAAGACGGGTCCCCGGCATGGTCCTCCAGTGTGGGCTCTGTGTCCACTACTGTGACGGTCAGAGGCTTGTATTCAGGAGGCGGTTCCATTTGAATGTCTTCATGTTTAGAAAAGTCTAAGTCAAAGTCTCTCAGGATTAAAAGACCTCCCACCTCAGGCTGGTTGACGTCATCGTCACAAACGGTTAAGACACAAGACGGGTCCCCGGCATGGTCCTCCAGTGTGGGCTCTGTGTCCACTACTGTGACGGTCAGAGGCTTGTATTCAGGAGGCGGTTCCATTTGAATGTCTTCATGTTTAGAAAAGTCTAAGTCAAAGTCTCTCAGGATTAAAAGACCTCCCACCTCAGGCTGGTTGACGTCATCGTCACAAACGGTTAAGACACAAGACGGGTCCCCGGCATGGTCCTCCAGTGTGGGCTCTGTGTCCACTACTGTGACGGTCAGAGGCTTGTATTCAGGAGGCGGTTCCATTTGAATGTCTTCATGTTTAGAAAAGTCTAAGTCAAAGTCTCTCAGGATTAAAAGACCTCCCACCTCAGGCTGGTTGACGTCATCGTCACAAACGGTTAAGACACAAGACGGGTCCCCGGCATGGTCCTCCAGTGTGGGCTCTGTGTCCACTACTGTGACGGTCAGAGGCTTGTATTCAGGAGGCGGTTCCATTTGAATGTCTTCATGTTTAGAAAAGTCTAAGTCAAAGTCTCTCAGGATTAAAAGACCTCCTACCTCAGGCTGGTTGACGTCATCATCACAAACAGTTAAGACACAAGACGGGTCCCCGGCATGGTCCTCCAGTGTGTGCTCTGTGTCCACTACTGTGACGGTCAGAGGCTTGTATTCAGGAGGCGGTTCCATTTGAATGTCTTCATGTTTAGAACAGCCTAAGTCAATGTCTCTCAGGATTAAAGGACCTTCCACCTCAGGCTGGTTGAGGTCATCGTCACTAAGGGTTAAGACAGAGGCCATGCTTCTGCTCGCCTGACCAAGGTCCTTTAGCACATCACTACAGGGAGCATCAGCATCTGCAATTAGCTTCTTTTTCAGGCTGTCACAAGAGGAGTCAGTCACCTGTAAGCAAGAGATACTGGAGGCCTTCTCTTCAGTATCACATTTTGCTGAAGCCTTTCCAAAGAGGGAAGTGATTTCCTCTCCAAATATTCGACAGCAATTTTCAATCAGAAATTGGATAAGCGGAGTAACCTTTTTTATAAATTCATTTTCTAGTTCTGGGCTGGAGGAATTAGGAGGCCAAAGAATGCTGGGAGCGATGCACACGGCTAAATTAAATGCCGTCATCTTGTTGGATGAGGAGTGTTGCTCGATGTTGTGTAGTACCCCAAAAAGGTACCTTAAGAGAACAACATTGGCTCTTGGGAGCTGGTCTAGTAGCCTTTGAATGGTATTTATTTTCTCTTCATCATTTCCTTGATCCATTACACTGACCCAGTGATGACAGAGATCTGATGACAAAATACTTCCGGGAATGTTTCGTAGAAAGTCCTTTAAAACGGATGCTATCATAAAAATAGATTCACAGTCCAGGCGTACTTCAGCTCCGGAATTCAGTTTCTCTTTTAGCTCTCGGCAAGATTTCACACTGGCTGACAGTCTGAAGATGCCCTCTGTGAGGGGACCTTCTTGATTAAGAAAAAAAAGCATATCAGAGACAGGTTTGGGCAGATTGTCATTCTCACAGATACTTGGCAGAGACGCTCCAAAGAGCTGTCCTGGCATAGGAGAGGTTGGTGACGTGGGCGAGTTATCCAGGCGAGCGCTAGCGCCCTGCCAAAAGGCCCACTTTATGCGAGATCTTCTCCTTTTAGATGTCTTCGGACCTGAGTCGCTCAGCTGCTGGGCCGCAGCCAGGAGGCTGGGCTGCAGGGTGAACTGGCACTGCATCTCCCTGGGCAACTGCTCCATGAGGAAGAGCTCTCGGAGTTTGGAAGGACTGGTGGAGTCCTCTGATCCCTGTGTCAGGAGTGCAGTGTCTCGAAGATGGCTCATTTTAATTCCATAGGGATATTCATGCCCAGTAAGTGGATATGGTGCCGCTTCTTTGCCAGAACTGACCCACAACTGATAATCTCTCTCAGAGCCACTTATCCTCAGCATTGGTAGTAACATGTTGATAACTTCCTTCGCTGTATCTGAATTCTTTATTATTATTATTTTAGAATAGGCGCAATTCCCCATGTCCTTGGTGAAGATTTTGAGGGGAATGCTCTTTGGGTAGTCCTTTTCTTTCTCTAGACTGATGTATCTCTGAAGGAGGGAGAGCCATTTGTCCTTCTGTTCTGGGGAACTGAAAGTGGCCACAAAGTTCACTGTGGGCCAGCCCAGGATGAATGATCTCATGGCATCGGCATTGCCGTCACCCGCTTCATCCACACAGCCTGCTGCCCACATGTCACTTAATTTTATTTTATTTTTCATCTTAAAGTTGTTGTTATATTTGACTTTGGCCACAACACACATATCATTGAACAGGAAAAGATGCCGCTCCCACCTCTGCCGGCCTCTTTTGAGTTCTACCGGGCCCTCTAATAGCAGAGTCCTATTAGAGCAAACAAATGATGACAGAAACGCACATGTGTCCACACCAGCAGAAGGCCCCTCCTTGGTACTAGGCCCTTTTCCTAGGGCTTTACCAAGGGTCAGAGATGGAGCTCTCCACCTCCTTTCTGCTGGTGCTTTCATTTTTTTCATCCTGGGTTGCTGAGCCCCTGGGGACATCAGCAGCCCTGCTGACCTCTAGCAGACCCAGGCGTCCAGCGCCTCTGCCGGGCTGGGGACAGGCAATGTCCCGACCTTGGCCCCACCCCCCGGGGGGGGCAGGGCTGCCCGCCTACCATCTGGTGGACGGACAGGAAGACGAGGCTGCTGGGTCGCTCAGAGGCTGATTACACTCAAACACAAAGAATACACAGAATACAGGGTACCGGGAGATTTAGGAGAAGACGGACGGTGCGGGGTGACCTAGGAGACAGCGGCGCTGCTGGTCTGGTCCTGAGGGCGGGTGGACGGGAAGTTCTAGAATTAGAACTCA